AAGGATGCAGTTTGGGGTCAGTAAGATTTTTGTTAAAGAGATTAATACTTGCATTCATCAAGGATGCATTAAATTGATCAGAAGTGACAGTAAAGACATTTATAATGTTACAGAAGATTTCTATTTCAGATAAATGCTGTTCTTTTGAACTTTCTGTTCATCTGTGAATCCTGAAAAATAAAATGCATCACAGTTTCCACAAAAATATTGTGCAGCACGACTGTTTTCAACATTGATAATAATCAGAAATGTTTCTCGAGCAGCAAATCAGCATATTATACTGATTTCTGAAGATCATGTGACACTGAAGACTGGAGGAATGATGCTGAAAATACAGCTGCGCATCACAGAAATACATTACAGTTTAACAGAGATTCACAGAGAAAACAGCTCTTATAAATTATAATAATATTTCACATTTATTCATTTTTTTGATCAAATAAATGAAGCCTTGTTGAGCAAAAGAGACATTTTTAGAAGAAATATATACAATCTCTCCACCTTTATTAAATCTCATGTCAATGCATATACTTGCTGAACGTGAACAGTTTTTCTTTGTCATTAGATAATCATGACTAATATATGTGATGTGTGTGTATATATATACAGTATATATATATATATATTATTATTATTCTTACATTTCATACAGTTGACTGTTGACAAACATGATGCAGGGACAAACAAATGCCTCTGTAGGAGGTTTTGTCTCATATTTATATCATAATAAGAGCATATAATTTAGCAGGGACGCTAGGCATACCAATACTAAATTGTCCCTAGCAATAGTTTTGATCAAACAATTTAATACTGTTTGATCAAAACGGAATTACTGTTATTATAATTTCGGCCGCATCTGAAATAGGTCATGCATTTGATATCAGCTGAGAGGTTAGAGTATAAACCATTGCGTCGCAAAATGATTCGAAGCTCTCCAATCGGATCACGTATCGCGAATCATTTGATTCAGATCCGGACTTCGGAGCATGCATCGCAAATCTTTTTTTCTGATTTTTTTTTATTAAACAGTACAAAACATCAAATCATTAAGGCAGTACAGTTATAAAAACCACACACAGAAAAAAGAAAGACAGAAAGTATACACAGATACAAATCCCTTAAAGGGATAGTTTGTGTGTGTGTGTGTGTGTGTGAGGACATTTTGGCTGGTCCTCACTTTCTGAGAGCCCTTTAAAGGCCTGTTTGAGGGTCAAGACTTGGTTTTAGGGGTCAGGTTATAATTGGGCAAAGGGTAGGTTTAGGGTAAGGCGCTAGAGATTGCATGAATGTCCTCACAAAGATAGCTATGCAGAGTTTTGTGTGTGTGTGTGTGTTTTTGTGACATATGAGGACACACATTTGTATAATGACATGGGTATGATAGGTATTACAAGGAGAAGGTGACTTATGAGGACATTACCCCATGTCCCCATTTTTCAAAACGCTTATAAATCATACAGAGTGAGTTTTTTTGAGAAAGTAAAAATGCACAAAGTCTCCTGTGAGGGGTAGGTTTAGGGGTAGGGTTGGTGTAGGGCAATAGAATATACGGTCTGTACAGTATAAAAACCATTATGCCTATGGAATGTCCTCACAATTCACAAAAACAAACGTGTGTGTGCGTGTCTGTGTGCGTGTGTGTATGTGTGTGTGTGTGTGTGTGTGTGTGTTTGTGTGTGTTCCGTGTCACCTTGCACTGCAGGTATGTGGTGTGTAGTTGTCCGTCCGTGTCCTGTGTAATGACCTGCATGACGTTCTGGAGCTGAAAGGCGTTTTCATCCACGCGCTCCACCGCACACACACGCGCTATGGGAATAGAGGAGCGAACCTGCAAAACACACACACACACACACACACACACACACATACACACACGCACACGCACACACGTCTCACCTCAGCACTTTCCCAACATCAGAAGCCAAGAGATGATAATGAACCTACAGCTAATGACACTCCATTCATAAAACACACACACAGAGAAGAAAGGAAAGCGTGTTGGACCTGCCAGTCGGGGCTCTTGGCGTACGACAGCGTCTCTGAGCTCAGCCAGAAATATCGTTTCTTAAAAGCGAAGCGTTTGAGCAGCTGAGGTCCTTCGGCTTTGTGTTTCTGCAGGAAACCTTCCTTCACGATGACCGACGGCAAAAACACGGCGCGCTGCGGAGCTTCAGACACTGTACAGAGAGATAAAACCAGAAACGCATTCATATCTAAAATACATTTGCTTTAGGTTTTAATTAGGATTTTTTTCCAACAGGAATGCGTGCATAAATGACAGAAATGAATATTATATAAAAACAAAAATAAAATATTTTTCCAACATGACCGCATGCATAAATGATTGAAATGAAAATTACATTAAAATAAATATAAAATAAACAATATTGAATATAAAACACTAAAATTTTTCCCAACATGAATGCATTTATTGAAATGAAAAATATATAGAAATAAATGTAAAATAAAAAATATAGAATAGAATAAAAATGCGCAGAAAGACAACGAGAAACTAGATTACAATAATCATTCATATCTAAATTCCATGTGTTTTAGGTTTTAATTATGATTTTTCCTAAATGAATGCACACATAAATGATTGAAATTAAAAAATATATATAAAGATACATGTAAAATAAACAATAGAGAATATAATAAAAATGCAGAGAGACAACAAGAAACTCGATTATTCCAGTAAACATTAATATCTAAAATTCATGTGGTTTAGGTTTTAAAGATTATTTTTCCAACATAAGTGCATGCATAAATTACTGAAATGAAAATGATCTAAAAATAAATAAAAAATATAGAGTGTTTTTATCATTTTATCTTTTTTTGTAAATATGAAATGTAGTTTTTTATAAAGTTATACTTTTATTTTATTTATTTTAGTACTTCAACTAAATGAAACTAAATGAAAATGAGAAATGTTGCCTTGGCAACTAGCTGAAATAAGATCATTTTTAAAACGTTTTGTTTTAGATTTGATTGTATTTCATGTTGTGAATATGCGTTTATGGTTTTAGTTCAGCATAATAACCCTGGTTCAGTTTTTGATGAGAAGTATTTTTAGTAAATAGTCTTTATAATTAATTGTCTGTCTCAGTCTGTCATCATGGTAATAAGTTGCTGTGATATTTGTGGCCAGTCGTCATGGCGACTCACCGTTGCTGTGATCGATGTCTATGAGTTTGTCCAGGAAATCTTTGACGGACGCCACGCTGCAAAGGATGATGGGATGCAGAGGGGTCATCCACTGCTCCTTCCCATGACCCAGCTGAAGGCCCAGGTTCCCCACGCTCTGAAGAGCCTGAGAGAGACGGAGAGACGCTCACGGCTCTGCAGGTGTGAGTGGGTGAGTGAAGGCCGGACAGCATGTCATTAACCCGTTTACACTGCAAATTTGCCATTGATTAAACTAGTGAAATGCCTGCTTGAAGATCCAAGTGCTTCAGAGTTGATCGTGTCCAGACCCTTATTCTGTGAAGTTCATTTTATGGCCGCAGCGACAGCATTCAATCAGTTGCGCTTGTGTATTTTTTAAGTGCATTTGAAGTTTTGCCTGCATGTTTCGCATTTCAAATTCAATGACCGTCCTATATTTTAAATGCAAACTACGACAATATTAATTCCTAAATTGATTCATTAAAACATCCCATAAAATGCACTGATAAATGCATGTTTATTTCCTGAGTTTATGCATTTTCTATTGAAACAGGACATGGTGCCATTGATTAACTAGTGAAATGCCTGCTTGAAGATCCAAGTGCTTCAGAGTTGATCGTGTCCAGACCCTTATTCTGTGAAGTTCATTTTATGGCCGCAGCGACAGTTTTGCGCTTGTGTATTTTTTAAGTGCATTTGAAGTTTTGCCTGCATGTTTCGCATTTCAAATTCAATGACCGTCCTATATTTTAAATGCAAACTACGACAATATTAATTCCTAAATTGATTCATTAAAACATCCCATAAAATGCACTGATAAATGCATGTTTATTTCCTGAGTTTATGCATTTTCTATTGAAACAGGACATGTTAGAAAATGAAATTTTTTTTTGAAAATGATATAATGATAAAAATTATGATTTCTCAAACATGAATGCATGCATAAATGATTGAAATGAAAATTATATAAAAATAAAAGTAAAATATACAATATATAAATGATTACAGTACATAAATGATTGAAGTAAAAATGATATAAAAATAAAATATACAATATAGAATATAATAAAAATTGTATTTCCAACATGAATGCATGCATAAATGATTCAAATTAAAATGAAATAAAATATTAAATGTAAAATAAGCAATATAGAAAATAGTAAAAAAAAATATTTTTCCAACATGAATGCATGCATAAATGATTAAAATTCAAATGAAATAAAATATTACATGTAAAATAAGCAATATAGAAAATATGATTTTTCCAACATGCATGCGTGCATAAATAATTAAAATTAAAATGAAATAAAATATTAAATGTAAAATAAGCAATATAGAAAATTAAAACTAAGATTTTTCCAACATGAATGCATGCGTAAATAATTAAAATTAAAATGAAATAAAATATTAAATGTAAAATAAGCAATATAGAAAATTAAAAATAAGATTTTTCCAACATGAATGCATGACATGTCATAGTAATGAATGCCCAACTCGAAAGTAGGAGCTTCCCAGGTGCATTTCAAGGTAGTGTTAGATCGGTGCAAGGTGTTTTTTATAATTTACTGGGAGTGCAATTTCATTAAAGAGAGCATTTAATGGACAATTGCACATTTTATTAATATAAAGCTGAATTTGAGATGTGAAAGTACCTTAGCGAGCAGCAGCAGCGTTCTGCTGGTCCTGGTGTCGGCGTGGTGGTCTCTCAGCTGGAAGAGTTTGGGCGTCAGAATCGCAGGAGCAAACAGACGCAGGAAGAAAAAGCCGCTGATGGCCAAATACTTCACATCCTACGAGACACAAACCGTGAGGAAAACCACACCATCATCATCATCATCACTGTGAGGGTCTGATCAGATCCTCACCTCGTTCTCGGCTTCTGGAAACTGTTCCTCCACACGTTTATGGAGCTGTTTGAAGACGACTCTCATCACAGGAGGACACTGGGAGACAGAGCTGACGATGGCCTCCATGATGCTGCTCAGATACGTCTGCAGGAGCCCCACGCTGCTCTCCCTGACCTCGGCCTCCGACGCCGAGCCTTTAAACGAGATTCGTCTGGAGAGAGAGCGTGGTTTCAGATGCGCAGATATTACCCGGCTGCATCAGTGAGCAAGTCATTGTGATTTTTTCTTTCTTTCTATGCAAATGAGGCTCATAATAATAAAACTCCAGTGCTGTTAACACCTCTGAAAGCAGACAGTAAGGAGGTTTATTTAAAAGACTTTTTTGTGCTTTTTTAAGCGTGCATCTAAATGGTCCCTCTCGCTCATTTTCTTATAAATAGGAACAACTGCGCCGTGCAAATTGCGATCAGTGCTCATTTTGTTGGCATGTTTGAGTCGTTTCTTGATTTGATAATTCCTTCAGTGAATCTCATCTCATTCTTAGTGAATACCCCGCCTCTTTGAGACATTTTTTAGCAAGCGAACACGATATTCTTGCTCACATCTGTGTGTTCTGCGTTGCTTTCAGACAGGAGATTCTGACTGCAGAACCTACACGCATTTTACATGCATTTCTTTGCTTTTCTGCACTTCAATTCATAGAAACTACTACGCAATTACGTGAATTGAGGTTATTGTTATCATTGGTTTCAGATAATTAATAATTTTATTAATCAAGGATGCATTAAATTGATCAAAAGTGACAGTGATAATGTTACAAAAGATTTCTATTTCAAATAAATGCTGTTCTTTTGAACTTTCTGTTCATCTGTGAATCCTGAAAATACAATGTATCAGTTTCCACAAAAATATTGTGCAGCACACACAACTGTTTTGAGCATTGATAATAATCAGAAATGTTTCTCGAGCAGCATATTATACTGATTTCTGAAGATCATGTGACACTGAAGACTGGAGTAATGATGCTGAAAATACAGCTGCGCATCACAGAAATAAATTACATTTTACTATACATTCACATAGAAAACAGCTATTTTAAATTGTAAAAATATGTCACAATTTTCCTGTTTTTACTGTATTTTTAATCAATTACATGCATGAGCCAGAAGAGACTTCTTATAAAACATTTTAAAAATCTTGCCAACCCGATACTTTTGAACGGTGGTGTATACATAAAAAAGTTGTACATTTAAGGAATAAACAAATATTTAGAATATTTAGATTCTATCCCATACTATTTTTATCAATATTTTACCGTTTTTTTTTTTAAATGTTAGTAATATTTTTTAAATATTTTACATGTATTTAAATATAAGTTTTATTTTAAATTCTAATCATATTACACTTTTTTTTTTTTACAGTATTTCAAATATCAAATAAATGCAGCCTTGTGAGCAGAAGAGACTATCAAAAACATTCAAATATCATACCGACCCCACACTTCTGAAAGGCGGTGTATATCATATTTTTCAAATATAAAACCTGGAGACGTTTGGCGCTCAGTGGCATTTCTCATGCTATACATAGATGTAAAAGCCAAAGTTTGGAGAGTTCACTGCTGTTGCCTGGCAACACAGTTATTTTTCCAGATCATGGCTGTTTCATCTGATGATATACTGCATGAATGAACTACCATGCTGTGTGTGTGTGTGTGTGTGTGTGTGTGTGTGTGTGTGTGTTTCTACACACCTGGAGCGGCTGAGGTCTATCTTGCAGGGATCCAACTCGACGTATTTCCTTTCTCATATTTTTCAAATATAAAACCTGGAGACGTTTGGCGCTCAGTGGCATTTCTCATGCTATACATAGATGTAAAAGCCAAAGTTTGGAGAGTTCACTGCTGTTGCCTGGCAACACAGTTATTTTTCCAGATCATGGCTGTTTCATCTGATGATATACTGCATGATGTGTGTGTGTGTGTGTGTGTGTGTGTGTGTGTGTGTGTGTTTCTACACACCTGGAGCGGCTGAGGTCTATCTTGCAGGGATCCAACTCGACGTATTTCCTTTCCTCAAAGATGCGGTTGATAATGGGCTTCAGAACCTCGTGTAGATACAGCATCCCGACGGCCTGAGAAACACACGGACCTTCGGACTACAGTCACACGTTAAAAACACAAGCTTATATTTCAGAGGAAGGTGCACACACACCTTCATGAACTGCTCCATGGCTTTGGAGGCCAGTGAGTTGGACCGGAAGAGTGTGTTTGGATCTGCTGTTGGGGAGAAACAGAAAACAAGTCCACGTGGTTCTTCCTCCAGAGTCCATCAGAACAAACCCCGACCAGAAATGATCATCTGTGCATATATTTTACTACGAGTGTCATCCATAGGAAAAAGTAAGTACAGGTAACCAAGGCTGCACGATGAATCGTAATAAAACCAGTTAATTAATTAAAGGCTGAGGCTGAGATTTAATTAAGTATTTTTGTTTGATGGTTTAATGTTTGAAAAATGACGAAAGTAAGACTGGCATAAATATTAGCATTGTAAATTTACAGTTATGATGTAAAATAAAATTATATTATATTATTATGACAATATTTTTCCTAAATGCTCATTATTTTTTAAACAATGCAATATTATATAATAGTAAAAAAAATAAAATATTTTTTTTTTATTTTACCGTTTTTTTTTTTTAAATGTTAGTAATATTTTTTTAATATTTTACATGTATTTAAATATAAGTTTTATTTTAAATTCTAATCATATTACACTTTTTTTTTTTTTACAGTATTTCAAATATCAAATAAATGCAGCCTTGTGCGCAGAAGAGACTATCAAAAACATTCAAATATCATACCGACCCCACACTTCTGAAAGGCGGTGTATATCATATTTTTCAAATATAAAACCTGGAGACGTTTGGCGCTCAGTGGCATTTCTCATGCTATACATAGATCTAAAAGCCAAAGTTTGGAGAGTTCACTGCTGTTGCCTGGCAACACAGTTATTTTTCCAGATCATGGCTGTTTCATCTGATGATATACTGCATGAATGAACTACCATGCTGTGTGTGTGTGTGTGTGTGTGTGTGTGTTTCTACACACCTGGAGCGGCTGAGGTCTATCTTGCAGGGATCCAACTCGACGTATTTCCTTTCCTCAAAGATGCGGTTGATAATGGGCTTCAGAACCTCGTGTAGATACAGCATCCCGACGGCCTGAGAAACACACGGACCTTCGGACTACAGTCACACGTTAAAAACACAAGCTTATATTTCAGAGGAAGGTGCACACACACCTTCATGAACTGCTCCATGGCTTTGGAGGCCAGTGAGTTGGACCGGAAGAGTGTGTTTGGATCTGCTGTTGGGGAGAAACAGAAAACAAGTCCACGTGGTTCTTCCTCCAGAGTCCATCAGAACAAACCCCGACCAGAAATGATCATCTGTGCATATATTTTACTACGAGTGTCATCCATAGGAAAAAGTAAGTACAGGTAACCAAGGCTGCACGATGAATCGTAATAAAACCAGTTAATTAATTAAAGGCTGAGGCTGAGATTTAATTAAGTATTTTTGTTTGATGGTTTAATGTTTGAAAAATGACGAAAGTAAGACTGGCATAAATATTAGCATTGTAAATTTACAGTTATGATGTAAAATAAAATTATATTATATTATTATGACAATATTTTTCCTAAATGCTCATTATTTTTTAAACAATGCAATATTATATAATAGTAAAAAAAATAAAATATTTTTTTTATTTAGAAATGTTTATATTTTTATTTAGTAATAATACTAATACTAACAATAATATTAATGCAATAATATTATTATTTTATAGCCATATTGATATAATAACAAAATTGTGCAGCCCTAGTCCAATAGTAGTTTTTATTTTTATTTTTATTTAGTAATTTCAATATTTTTATTTAATAATAATAATAATAATAATAACTATTTATAAAATAGCAATTTATTTATAAATTATCATTATATAAATAATAATAATTATTATTATTATTACTTTGTTTTAATTTATTATTGTTTTTTACTATTATTATCAAAACACATTCCAAGGAGTCTTAATTTAGTAATTTTAATATTTTCTATTATTTATAACTGGATTGGTTTAATTTTTTTTTTTATCATATTTTAAGTCACAATCACATTTTTTTTCCCTCAAAAAGCTCACAATTTAAATGTTTTCCCTAAATCATGCAGCCTTAAACATACATAAATCTGTAAAATTAATCTGTATCAAAATTATACTGTAATTTTCATTATTTATTATCTATAACTACATTTTTTTGCATGTTCTGAATAAAATGTGATGTTTTCCCAGTACTACAGTATTTTTACATTTACACTTATGCATTTAGCAGATGCTTTTATTGCATTAAAAAGTTAGTAAAAATGAAAATGTATGTTTTTCTATCTGTTGACAGTATATTCTGATTTATGGAGAGATAAAAAGAGAAATACAAAATCCCCTCCCCTTTAATTCTGATACATCAACAAAATAAATCAATAATTAGACGTTGGATGTATCCGATGTTTAGATTTCTGTTCTGGAAATGTATGCAAATTAGCGCATCAGTGCCTAATTTGCCTACATTTCAGAAAACTTGTGTTTGTCTTAATGTACTGTAATTACTCAAGTAGGGAAAGGATGGTGGTTCTCTATTAGTATAATTGGACCTTATTCACCTGTGGTGTCTTGCCTTAACAAACACTACTCAAAATTAGTAATTAAATGTATTATTTATTATATCTATTGAAATCAAGTCGGTTTTGTCGCTCGCTGACGAACATTCCAATCTTATGATCGTTCCGTTTCCTTTTGAAGCTGCTTCCTGCGGAGTTGCTATGGAAACGCAGGCACTCTGTTTGTCATCACAAACGCAACATAAAACCCCAGCCGAGTGTGAACAGCCCACGCGCTCGCACAGCACAAAACATCATTAATGAGAGAGGAGAAGTTCAGATGACTTCTGTGGGTAAATATAGCTGGACTGAAGTCGTCACGTCGCCTACACACAGAAAACGCACATATCACACGCTCACGTACTGGTGTTGTGGACCTCTCTGGTGTTGAGGTAGTCCAGGAACGGCACGACCAGACCCTGACCCAGATAGATCTTGACCAGCGTCATGGCCACGATCTGCCGGCTCTCCACCGTCGTGACCTCCTCCAGCAGGGTCAGGGGTGTGGGCTCATCCACCTGACAGCATCGGGCACAATTCACAGCGTAAGAACGTGCAGTTCACACGGGATGTTTCATTGGAATGACAGGAAGAGGAATTCAACAGATCACATGATTTAGATGTTATGTTGAACGTCTTTAGGCCTGCATTAGGGTGCAGTTTAATTAAAGGGGTCATATGACGTTGCTAAAAAAGAACATTATGTTGTGTATTTGGTGTAATGAAATGTTTATGCGGTTTAAGGTTCAAAAAACACATTATTTTCCACATACTGTACATTATTGTTTCTCCTCTATGCCCCGCCTTTCTGAAACGCATCGATCTTTACAAAGCTCATCGGTCTGAAAAGCTAGGTGTGCTCTGATTGGCCAGCTATCCAGTGTGTTGTGATTGGCCGAATACCTCAAGCGTGTGACGGAAATGTTACGCCCCTTACCATAATGTGATGCCGTGTCCCAGCACGACGAGACAAAACCAATAAAACCCATTATAAATGAGGCATTTGTTGCATCCAGTGGGGACATAATTACTGATTATAATGACTTATACTGTCTTTTTACACGTTGCATTGCATCGCGCCGCGTAAACATAAAACCATGTCTGCATTTGTGATCGGAGAAATGACAAACAACAAGCTCTACTCTACACTGCCCAAAACTCACGTTTGAATCGTCAGTGGCAAATTCTTTAAATATAAAAAACTTACTTACAGTCTGTGAGTCAGAACAGCCGGCATTGTAGTCTACTCTCCCAGGATCAGGAAACA